CCTTTTCATTATAATTTGTCTTTAAGTAATTTATTTCTGCTCGCATCTTATTCTATGCTATTAGAAGTAGCCACAAGCTCTTTCTACATCTTGCCTAGAAACCCCATTTGCCAGATCTTCGTCACGCTAAGAGCTGGTGCTCCACGAAGCTTTAGTGCAAGGACCCAGTGTGGCCGGACCGTAGGTGGTGGCAGAATGGCCTTTTCTCCAGTTTCCAATAAGACAGTCCTCATCGTCCTCGGAGCCCCCTTCAGAATGACCTTCCTCGTCCGCATCAGTATTCTGGCCACCACCATTTAGCCAGTCTCTAAAAAGTTCCAGTTCGTTCTTCGAAGCCTCCACCAGAATGTAGGCTTTGCCTCACTGCTCCCCCAGATTCCTGCACCCTCTGCCCGTAAACCGGTTCCAAAGCCGCTTCCACGTTTGCAGATATCTGTAGCAAGACCACCCGCCTGCTGTGCCACCCCTCGGTCTTAGTCCTCTGTGTCGCTGTGAGTGGGGTCCCCGAGACTGGCTGACATGGAAGCAAAGGTCTGCCCAGCTCACAGTGCCGGGGCTAGGGCCCAGTGGCCATGTCGGCCAGCGTCTCGCAGAGCCTGTCCACAGGAGACCGAGTACAGAGAGGCCGCGATTCGTCTGTCCTGGGCCCCTCCCCTCCTTGTAAACCCGCCAGAACTGGGTCGTACGGGCCCACCTTTCGGCACCATCAAATCTCAACACACAAACCACGGCAATGATGATCAGCTGATTTCTTATCAGAAACCGTGAGGCCAGAAGGAGCAGAATAACACGGGCAAAATGCCGAAAGAAAAGGAACGCCAGTCAAAAATTCGGTCTCTGGCAAGAGTGAGTTAAGACATTCTCAGATAAACAAAAGCCGGAATGTGTCATGAGTTGACCTGCCCTATAAAATAATACTCAAATCAGGGACCAGCAGATAGCGTAATGGTTACGGCACTGGACTCCCACATGGCTGACAGTGGCTCAAGTCTTGGACCCGGTGGCTTCAAACTCACACTGGGCACGTGTGTATGCGTGCCCAAGATCCCAAGAGAAGAATAGAGGAACAGGGATTACAGTGTGGCCATCTCCCCTAGGGGCTGATTTCTCCCTTTCTCTGTCTCTCTGGCGAGCGCACACACCCTATAGCAAAACTCTCTCTCAAAAAACAAAAACGGGGACCAGCAGTTAGCATAATGGCTATGTTGCTGGACTCCCATGTAGTCGACTGCGGTTCGCGTCCTGGACCCGGTGGCTTAAAACTTACGCCAGGCGCGTGTGCGTGCGTGCCCAAGATCCCGAGAGGAGAACGGAGGAGAAGGGATTGCGGCGTGGCCATCCCCCCTGGGAGGTGATTTCTCGCTTTCTATCTCTCTGTCTCTCTGTCTGGTGAGCGCACGCACTCTATAGCAAAAATCTCTCCAAAACAAAACAAAACAAACAAAAAGTACATAAAACAAAATTGCCGTTTTTATTTTTAAGGATACATTTCAGTGGGACTCAAGCTGCGGCTGACTATGTAGGAGTCCAGTGACGTAACCATTATACCACCTGCTGGTCCCTGTAATATGTATTTTACTGCAATAAAAATGTTGACGGGGCCAGTGAGTAGCACAGTGGTTGAGGTGCTGGACTCCCACACGGCCAGCCACCACTGGAGTCCTGAAGCCGGCAGCTTGAGGATTACGCTGGAAGCATGTGTGTGCATGCCCAAAACCCCCAGAGGAGAATGAAGGAGGAGAGATCGCGCCTTGGCCATGCCCTCCGAGAGGTGACTTCTTGCTTTCCCTCTCTCTGACTGTCTCTTTCTGGTGAGGGCATGCACCCTACAACAAAAACCTCAAAGAAAAAAGAATCAAACAGAAGACATGGCAGTAATGGAGGAACTGATGGAGAAATATGTAAGACAAACAGAAAACAAACAGCAACATAAGTAGGTCCTTCCTTATGGCGATTACTTTACAAGTACAAAGATGAACCTCTGCAGTTAAAGGTGGAGATCGGCAGAATGGATCAAACACATGGTTCGACCTAAGCTGCCTACAAAAGACCCACTTCCGCTCCCAGGGCACAACCAGGTTAAAAGCAGGATTCCATGGGAACAGTAACAGAAAGGGAACGGGATGTCTACGCTATCAGACAAACTCTAAGTCAAAAACCGCTACAAGAGACAAAGAAGGACCTTACGCTGTACTGAGAGTGCCCATCCAGTGACCGCCCACGGCCCACGAATGCAGCTTTAACCTCCCTCTGCACACAGATCTGAGCCGGGTACACACAGTCCCTCCCCAGCCCCACCGCGGAGCCAGAAACCTGTCACACTGAAGCAAAACAGCCCTCCTTGCGGGGGGCGGGGGCAGGGGCGTCCTTGAAGAAGTGGGTCATGCACGCCATGGAGCTCAGGGTGCTCGTCCCACCCTGGCACCCTTCTGGCCCTTGGAGCTCTGGGCAAGGCCTCCCCGAGTCCCTCCATCCTGCAGGCACGAGGTGCTCCTGCCTCAGTCTCACGGCCTTTCTTTGACAGCCCCCTCGAGGGCAGGGCACGAGTTCCACATTCTCAGGTGCCCCCCACACCCCTCCACCACGGCTTCCAGCTGTCCCATTCCCAAGAACCTTCCCTGGGTTGCCCACCTGTCTCCAGGGAACACCTCCAGGTCAAGGCGTACTCCCTTTATCTCTGCATCCTTCCTGTCCAGTCCAGCCCAGAGAAGGGGCCCAAGGGCACTTTGCTGGGTGGGTGAGAAGGGGCTGGAGGAGTTGCCTTGGGCACACTGGGGAGGCCCATGCACCCCATCCCACTCCACAGGCAGGAACACAATGGGTCAGCTCAGCCAGCCATAGCGTCCCGAGGAAAAAGCCCATGTCCTGCAAATGCCACCCAGCACGGGCAGTCGGATGCCTATCCTGTGCCCTGCATGGGGCCTTCCTTTTCCTGCCTCTCCCCTCCCCCTTGCCAGTATGGCTCCTTACCCTATCAGGACCTACCCTAGCTCGTGTCAGCTACCCTATGTGAGCCTCAGCTTCTTCACCTGAGGTATGGGCACAGCGGCCCCTACCTCATACCTTTACCGTGATGAAGTGAGGTTGCGTGTAGACTGCCTCACATGTAGGGGGCACCCTCTGATGGATTAGAACTTGTGACACATGAATAAGCTTTTTCCATGAGCAAAGAGATGTGGGTTTTTAGCCCATTTTTATGAGGTGTCTCCTATGTGGGAGCTCTGAAAGCTGAGATGATGGCTGAAAGGATGGATGGGTGGGTGGTTGAGTAGATGGAGGCGTGCATGGATGGACAGACAGGAGGGCGGATGGGAAGATGGGAGGGTGGATGGACAGGTAAGTGAGTAGAAGGAGGAATAGGAGGATGGAAGGGTAAGTGAGTAGAAGGATGAGTGGATGGATGGACAGATGGGTGGATATACAGATAGATGGGTGGGTGGATGGGCAGATGGGTGGATAGACGGACAGATGAGTGGATGGACAGATGGGTGGACGGACGGACAGATGGGTAGATGGATGGACAGATGGGTGGATGGATGGACAGATGAGTGGATGGATGGACAGATGGGCCTATGAATGGGTGGATGGACAGATGGGTGGATGTACGGATAGATGGGTGGATGGATGGACAGATGGGTGGATGGATGGACAGATGGGTGGATGAACAGACAAATGAGTGGATGGACAGATGAATGGATGGACGGACAGATGGGTGGATGGATGGACAGATAGGCCTATGAATGGGTGGATGGACAGATGGGTGGGTGGATGGGCAGATGAATGGATGGATGGACAGATGGGTGGATGGACAGATGGGTGGATGGATGGACAGATGGTGGACAGATGGACAGATGGGTGGATGGACGGACAAATGAGTGGATGGATGGACAGATGGGTCTATGAATGGGTGGGTGGAGAGGGAGCGGTGCGGACTTGCTGCAGCAGCCCCAGAAAAGAGGGTCCCATCTTCCTCTCAGACGAGGAAGCACCTCAGGGAGGCTGAGGAGGGCTCCCAAGGACCCCACTCATCCACAACAAAGCCTGAGCCGCAGCCAGGCTGTGGGTTCTGCCTTGTGGAACCGGATCCGGTTGGTCTGCAGGGCTGGGACCATTTTCAGGACCAAAGAAGTAAGAGAAGGTGCTTCCTCCCCTCCTGCACCCCGATTTGGCACCTGCCAAACGCTCAGCCAGGGTGACGCTTTCTCTGAGACCTTGGTTGTGCTCAGTGGGGCTCTGGAAGGGACATCCCTCAGACCCTGAGGGAAGCCTGCCTCCCTGCACACACACCCACACCAGGCGCGAGCCAACACGCTGTCCTGCTGGGCCTGGGGCCTCTGATGACCCCGGAGGTCTGGAAGCTGCCCCTGAGTCCCTGCAGCACATGGCCCCGCGAGCCCTGGGCCCAGCGCCAGGCCCACCTGGCCCAGGGCCCACATTCCTGGCTCTGCTCTGGGGACCAGGAGCGCATGAGCCTCAGGCGGATCACGGGGAAAGGCTGAGGGTCAGCGGCTACAGGGCCCAGGGTAGGCAGCCTTTTTTTTTCGGGACGTAGCGGATGGGCACCCCCAGCCTCTCCCTACAAATGCCAGGGGCTCCAGCTTGGGCCATGTCCCTCCCCACTCACTGCTCCCAGAGGCTCTCAGGGTTCTTTTTGGTCTGGCTCCCTCCTCCTCCCCGGAGGATTTGCCGCATCTGGGCCTTTGCACATGCCTCCACTGTCAGGAGCATACGAGATTCGGGCCTTGTCAATCAGTGATGGCACCCGGGGTGAGTCAGAGAAGGGAGCCCCAGGCTGGGCCTGGGAGAGGAGGGAAAACTTTATAGCTGGGTTTTGAGGCATGGATAGGAGTTCTCCAAGAGAAAAGGCTGGGCGGGGGTTCCACGGGTAAGCGCGTCAACGAGACGATGTGGGATGGGGCAGGGAGGGCTGTCGACAAGGTCGCCCTGGCTCCGAGCGTGCAGGGTCGAAGGCTGTGGGCTTTGGGCTGTGGGCCACTCACCTGCTGAAGAATCACCATGGCCCCAAGTCTGCCGCGCCCACTGCCCGCCTGGCCAGACGCAGCTCTGCGGAGAGAGAAGCCACGTCAAGCTCTGAGCAGGCCAGCACTGGCAGCCTGGAGCCTGGCTGGGGTCGCCTGGGCTTCTCCCAAAGCCCCAGCCCCTCCTCCCTCCAGGGAACCCTCCCTGCCTTTGACCCCCCTGGCCACCACCCAGCCCGGTGACCTGAGCCTCAGCCACAGTCCCAGCTCCCTCACCCAGAGCAGCCAAACTCTTCCCTCGGCTGCTGTCCTCTGAGATTCCCAAAGGGCTCCTAGAAGGAGCAAGTCCAGTCTCACCCAGACAGGGACAAAGGGGCCCAGAGAGGGACCAGGACTTCCCCGAGGGCGCGCAGCAGGGCAGGGCACATCGAGGGCTGGGATTCACTCTCTGGACTCCCAGCTCAGGACTGTGCCAAGAATGTGGATGGCAGGGGCAGCCTGCCCTTCCAGATCACCCGCCCGCTCAGCATGGAGGACTCGAGCCCTGGCCGGGCTTTGGAGGCTCAGCACAGCCTGGGCCCTAGGGGTACCCACTCTTCCTGCTTTTCCTCCCTGTGCCTGTACCAGGCCTGCCCTCAGCGACTCACTACTCCGGAGACAGGCCAGTTCTTTCTTACCCCTGATCTCCGCACACACAGGCCCTGCCAGTATTCCGACTGGTACATTCCTACCTCTATCGTAAGCTCAGTTCAGATGGTACCTCCTCCAGGAAGCTCTCCCTGACCACTGCCAGGCTGCTAAGAATCTGTTTCCTTTTATGCCATCTGTGACTATAGAGTTATGTCGCCTGGGTCTGGTGCAAAGTTGGGGAGTAATCCAGCGTGCAATGTCGCCAGAGGGAGACAGTCTGAGCCATGGCCTGCTCCAGCCTCCCCCAGCACAGGGCAGGCCCAAGCCAGGCACGGCAGGAGCTGTGGGACCTGGTGTAGCGATACAGTATCTGCCGCAGCCCACGGGCTGGCACGAGGCCTTGCTAGCCCCTGACCTGTCCTCGGGATGAGCATCAATTTTTCACGAGGGCCCATTCAGAGGCATCAGGGCATTTGATCCTCTGCCCACGACACTGCCTGACACCCGAGCCTGGACCCCGGGACAGTGGGCACACGGCCACCGGGAGACCAGCTCCGGCCTTGGTGCCTGACGGGGAAGCAGACTCAAGGCAGCCCAGGCGCTGCGTCCGGAGGGGAGGCCCGGGCCAGGGTGCTGGCATCTAGGACACCGGCGGGTGTGGCATGAGCCGGGGCAGGACCGGCACTCTCAATCGAGGCCTGGGGCCTTGCAGGGTGGAGAAGGGGTGGGGTGGGGAGGGCTTAGAAGCTAGGGCCCACCAAGAAACACTGCAAGACACACATCAGTTTCTGAAAAGGAGAAGCCACGTCCAGGTCCGTCTCTCTTCTAGCTGACGACAGGGAGCAAGACCGCATCGCAGTTTCTACCCGCCGCTTCAAGGTGCCTTGTCCCTGTAGGTAGGGTCCCCCACGCTGGCTGGGGGACTTCACACTCCCGTTTCTCAGATGGGCATTTGGAGGCACAGAGGAAGGAAGTGACTTATGCAAGGACGGAGATAGTGTCAGAGAGATAGCAAGGGAGACAGAGACAGAGACAGAGCAGTCTCTCTGCCACCCCAGCACGTCTGCTCCCCTGGCCCCAGAGCGCCCCCACGGCAGCCCCAGCTCAGGGTTGAGTCGAGGGACACCATGTCCTGGCTCTTCCCACTGTGGGGTACAAGCCTCCGTCACTCCGAGCTCAGGATGACTGCATCCACTGCGGCTGCGGCCAAGTCCTCAAGGGTGGCAGGAATCCAGGGCCAGGAGCAAGTGGCTCTGTCGGGCCTCTGCTGCTCAGGACAGCGGGCATCCTTACCTGGTCCTGGCTGCCCACTCTCAGTGTAGATTAA